TTATCTTCTAGGCTCCAATTATGATTTAACTAAGCATCTTTTCATTTTGATTTTAATTTCGCCTGTTACCTACATATCACCTTTGCAATTTCATTTCTTATAGACTTTTGTTTCACACAACAAGGTATTCCGCGTTGTAGGATATTCCGCCATTCCAAAATTCCACCATTCACATTCTATCGTTCCATCGAATAGGGTCACCCTGTTGAACTCAAGGTATTGGTCGCTTTCGCAAGTGAAGCATTTGTTGCTGATTGAAACGATAAAAAGCTCTAAATTAAAATCGATCTTCAAAGTTTCCACGATATGCAAATCAAACCTATTAAGATATTTTTGCAAGGAAAAAATCTTTTTTTCAAATACGTGCCGGTGACGCCACTGTGAAATTATTTTGAGATGTTCAACATCGAATCTACTGGGCAAAATACGCTGATTCGATCGGTAAAATGCTCTCTCTTCAAAGAAGAAGTCTTCCTTTGGTTTTCATGATGTGCCGATCACACCTTTTTAGACAATTCTGCAAAGGTAAAGCTGTGTTTTTCACCTGCCATCCTGAAATAAGTGGGAAATTTTATCTGTAGTACTTTGAAACAAACAATAAGTAGTAACGGGAAACAGTGTTATCGCCTGCTTATTTCGAGAAAGACTCGAGGCGATCCGAAGAATTCGTCGGCAAGCGTCGAACGATCGAAGATGTGGCGGTGACTTAAGTATGTATTACGTCTATTACGTCAACGTCATTACGTATGTTGCGCGCTTGTGTGGCGAGCTGTCTCGATTCATGATTTAAGGAGCGACGAAAAAAATCCATGTGTCATGCTGGTTTGTGATCTGCGCTTGCAACGGGCTCTCTTGCTTCATGGCTTGCAGAACAGCGTCTTTATATAGCGTAATGCATTAGTCTGTGACGAGTGCTTAAGAGTACTGTCTCACACAAATATTTGATGCTAGTGATGATGTTTCCCTATTACATAGGCACTTATAGACCGATATTCTCACTACTCATTCGTGGTTCTACTCAAATGGCCTCATGATTAATCCTGACAAATGTACTACTATGTGGCTTGGAAAAGGTACTAGCACTGACATGCCTCGTTTTTCTATTGGTAGCGAGGAGATCAGTGTTGTAGACGATGTTAAATCATTAGGTGTAACTATTGACAGGGATCTAAATTTCAGCAAACATATTGCTGATATAGTAAGTAAAGTTTGGAAGCAAGTTCAAGTCTTACAGAGACATAAGAAGCTAATTGACCCTGATACCAAAGTCAAATTGTACAACGCCTATCTTCTACCTCATTTAGATTACTGTTCTATCATTTCGCATCACTGTGGCTGAAGCAATTCTGCCAAATTAGAAAAACTAAATGAACGCGCTCTCCGCTTTATTTTTGATGATAATAAAAGCACATATGACGAGTTACTATTGCGTATTAATCACCCTACTTTGAATAATAGAAGAATGCATAGCATTTTAACAACTGTATTTAAGGCCTTGCATGGATTTGTTCCCGAATATATTTCTAAGTTATTTAAATTACGCAATTGTACCATTAATTTGCGGGGCGACAATATTCTTACTGTACCTAGAGTTAACACTACTACTTACGGTCTTCACTCTCTTGTTTACCAGGGCAGTAAGTTATCGAATTCTCTCCCTAATTGCATGAGATCGATTCATGAATTAAGAAAATTTAAATTGGAAATTTCCAAAATGAAATTTGACATTGACTGTTGTACCTTTTGCAGTAAATAATATTTTAAATTTTCACTTATTAGTCACGTTTAAGTTTATTCATACATATATATTATTTAATTTCCTTTTTTTGTATTATTGTATTTAAGTAGTTTTAATATCTTTACTTGGAGATATTAGCAAGTATTTGCTATCTTTAATTCAAGTTTAAATAAAGTTATTGTATTGTATTGTCTCGTATTGTACTGAGTTCTATTCGTGACTTACTGACTTCATCAGACTCCGATGGAATACATTTTTTAAGCCTACATTCAAACCAAACGGCATTTTTCCCGAAGTCTCTCATCAACGGAAGATCAATCATTCAGACAG